GATTCAATTACATTGTCTGCTCTATAGAGGAATCTAAGGACATAGAAACTCTATCTGTTGATGCTCTTCAGAGCTCACTGCTGGTCCATGAACAAAAGTTTCACAAGAAACTTGTTACTGAAGAGGACCAAGCCTTAAGAGTCTCACATGAGTTTGCTGGAAGGGGAGGAAGAGGCTCAGGCAGCAGAGGTGGCTATCAAGGCAGAGGAAGAGGAAGGAGTGGTCGAGGCTGGGGTAAAGAGAGCATTGAGTGCTTTAAGTGTCATAGATTGGGACACTATCGCAGTGAGTGCCCTGAGTGGTACAGTCAAGGTCACTACAATCAACAAGCTCATTACTCTAGTACTCAGAATGAGAATCATCAGACACACCACTCCAGTTCCCAGAATGAGATGACTGATGATGTACTACTGATGGCCTTTCTTGAAGAAGGTCAGATGAGAAACATGTCAACATGTTGGTTTCTGGACTCAGGGTGCAGCAATCACATGACAGGAGAGAAGAAATGGTTTGAGCACATGGATACTCAGTCTACTGGTAAGATCAGACTAGGAGATGACAGCAAACTGGATGTGGCTGGAAAGGGGACAGTGAGGCTGAACCTTGGGAAGATGTCCTTGGTCATATCAGATGTATTTTTTGTTCCAGGATTGAAAACCAATCTCCTAAGCATGGGACAAATGCAAGAGAAGGGATTAGAATTTCTGGTTAAGAGGAATAGCTGCAGGATATTCCATGAAGAGAAAGGGTTTCTGATGGAAACTAAGATGCAGGCAAACAGGATGTTCATACTGCAGACAACAGCTGCAGAACCAGCAAATGAATCAGAAACTCAATGTCTTCAGACCAAAGATGCTAAAGGCACAACACTGAACCTATGGCATAGGAGGTTTGGACACTTGAATCCTCAAGGAATACTGCTGGCTCACAAGAAGAAAGTAGTGCAAGGTATACCTGAACTGAAGGGGGAAGTTGGCATCTGCTCCACATGTCAGCTTGGTAAGCAGTCAAGACAACCTTTTCCTAAGAAAAGCAACTGGAGGGCCACTCAAAAACTACAATTAGTGCATGCAGACCTGTGTGGCCCCATTACTCCAACTTCCAATGGGGGAAAAAGGTACATCTTCACTCTAATAGATGACTACAGCAGGAAATTATGGGTATACTTCCTAGCAGCCAAGTCTGAAACACTTGAGTGGTTTAAAAAGTTTAAAGCTCAGGTAGAAAAAGAAACTGGTTCCTCAATTGTGTGTCTCAGAACTGATAGGGGAGGTGAATTCTTATTGAGTGAGTTCAACTCTCTTTGTGATGAAGTTGGTATGCAAAGGCAGTTAACTGCTGCTCTCACTCCTCAACAAAATGGAGTGGCTGAGAGGAAAAACAGAACCACTATGAACATGGTTCGTTGCATGTTGAAAGACACAAGAGTACCTGCTGGTTTTTGGCCAGAAGCTGTAAACTGGACTACACATGTGCTGAACAGAAGTCCCACAGTGGCAAATCAAGGAAGAACCCCTCAGGAGCTGTGGACTGGGAATGCTCCATCTGTAGCACACTTCAAGGTTTTTGGTTGTGTGGCTTATGTACATGTCCCAGATCAGCAAAGGAAAAAGCTGGATGACAAGAGTACACAGTGTCACTTTCTTGGTATTTCTGCAGAATCCAAAGCTTACAGGCTTTACAACCCTGCAACAAAGAAAATAGTGGTAAGCAGGGATGTTATTTTTGATGAAAGTAAAGGGTGGGAATGGAAATCAGATATTCAACCAGTTTTAATCAGGATTCTGTGGGAAGGCAGTGAAGAAGAATGGTTTGACTCTGATGGAGAAGAAGGACCAGTGGTGTCAACTAGTCCAGATCATATCTCAACAGAAACAGAAACTGATGAATCCAGTCCAGCTAGTACAGCTAATCAAACAAATCCAGGGGCTTCATCCACCACTTCAGGAGAAGAAGACTCAGATGACTCATCTCCTGGTGGATCAAATCTAGGTCCTAGAATCAGGAAGCCACCAGGGCATTTGAGCATATATGACTGCAGTCATACTGAGTCTGATGTCTCAGATTGGCTAGTCATGGTGGCCACTGCAGAAGATCCACAAACATATGAAGAGGCTGCTGGTGATCCAGTTTGGGATGCAGCTATGAAGTTAGAGATGAATGCAATTGAAAGAAACAAGACATGGGAACTTACTGTTCTTCCACCTGGTATCATTCCCATTGGTCTGAAGTGGCTATACAAAACTAAGCTGAAAGAGGATGGAATGATAGATAAGAAAAAGGCCAGGTTAGTTGCAAAAGGATATGCTCAAAGAGCTGGTATTGACTACACTGAGGTCTTTGCACCAGTAGCTCGTTGGGACACTATAAGAACACTGCTTGCACTAGCTGCCTATCATGGACTAACAGTATGGCAGTTAGATGTTAAGAGTGCTTTTCTTCATGGTGAACTGACTGAAGATGTATATGTTGAGCAACCACAAGGGTTTGTGGTTGCTGGGGAGGAATCTAAAGTGTATAAACTGAAGAAGGCACTGTATGGCCTTAAACAAGCCCCTAGGGCATGGTACAGTAGGATAGAAAGCTACTTTCTCAGTACAGGGTTTGAGAAATGTCAGAATGAAGCAACATTGTTCATCAAAAGGACTGAGAAAGGGGTGTTGATAGTCAGCTTGTATGTGGATGATGTCATGTATCTTAGTACCAGTGATGATATGATTGAAGAGTTCAAGCACTCAATGGAAAGGGAGTTTGAAATGACTGACCTGGGGAAGATGAGGTACTTTCTGGGAGTAGAGGTGATACAAAGTGATGCTGGTATTTTTATCTGTCAGCAGAAGTATGCAAGGGAAGTGCTGGAAAAATTCAAATTGCTGGAATGTAATCCGGTTCATGTTCCTATTGCACCTGGAGTAAAATTAACTAAAGCTGGTGATGGATGTTCAGCAGATTCAACTGAGTACAAAAGATTGATTGGGAGCCTTCTCTACATCACTGCAACGAGACCTGATTTGATGTTTGCAGTGTGTCTGTTAAGCAGGTTCATGGAAAGTCCAACTCAACAGCACATGTTAGCAGGGAAAAGAATCCTGAGATACTTGAAAGGGACTCTGAAACATGGCATCATGTACCACAGGAACAATGGGGAGGACTGTCTATATGGATACACAGACAGTGACTATGCTGGTGACCTTGACAGCAGAAAGAGCACAAGTGGATACATCTTCTTCATGGCTGGAGGAGCAGTTTCGTGGGCATCTAAGAAACAGCCAGTGGTGACACTGTCAACCACTGAGGCAGAATTTGTGGCTGCTGCTTACTGTGCAGCCCAATGTGTTTGGCTGAGAAGGATCATCAGTGATCTTGGATGGGAGAAGTGTGTGAATGGAACCACAGTAATACTGTGTGATAACAGCTCAACAATTAAGCTGTCAAAGAATCCTGTTTTCCATGGTCGAAGCAAACATATAGATGTTAGGTTTCATTTTCTCAGGAACCTTGCAAAGGATCAGATAGTGGAGCTGAGGTACTGTGGAACTCAGGATCAAGTGGCAGACATCATGACCAAAGCATTGAAGATTGACACATTTCTGAAGCTAAGAAGCAAGCTGGGAGTCTGTGATTTGAATGAAATGGCAGGACTGTGAAGAGCTGGGGAGGATGCAGTGAACTGGAGCATGAATCGAATGAGCTCCAGTTCAGGGGAGGATATGTTAGGTTGAAGACATCAGCCAACATAGAATCCTAACTGCATCAGGATTGGAAGGGCGCCAAGTGGAATGTTTGAATATTTGAATAAGGCCGAGTTTGCCAAAGTGATGTCGTTTAAGTTTAATGAGTCTATGTAATAAGCAAACTACGTCGTTTGTGGTTTTGCTGTGTCAGTCCTTGTGTTTTGTTTAGTGTCAGTTTAGTCCTGGATTGAGCAAACTTGAGCAGTTGAGTTCTCTTGGCTGATTAAGTGCTCGTGCAGTTAGAGGAGCCTAAATTTCAGGTTAGTGGGTTTGTTGGTAGCAGCCTGGCTTGTGGTTTGCACCAATACTATATGTACAGTTCTGTTTCATCGTAATAAACTGTCAGATTGCATTCAGTGGTGTTCTACACTCTTGTTGTTGTTGTTGTTCTCGATTTGTTGGTGTTGTGTTTGTCGTTTGCAGGGGGGAGCTACAGCTGCTCTCGGGAGGCCTCGCCCCCCAGAATTTCTGAAGTTACGTGTAGACTTGACGATATTTTGAAAATTTCGTATAAACTAAAAAAACGTTGAATATATAATGGTATTGTAAAATATATAATGATATTGTAAAATGAGAGGAGAAGCTCACCTCTTGAATGAAAGATTCAGTGTTCAATTCTTGGAGGCAACGCCTCTTTCCACGCATTATTCAGTTTTGATGTTGTTGATGTGCTTGAAACATTAAGTTCATTTTCCCAAATATTTATATAAGTAGACACTCAATTTTCAATTCTAAAACTATGATTGATTATAGAATTTTACAATGCATTATTAATATGTTTATTCCATTTTCAATTCTGAAGATGATCGTTGAAGACTTGGGCTAGGGATTGAAAGTTGGGCCCGTTTGTTTGCTTGGTTTTGGCGTTGTATTTTTGTTGTCTTTCGGTCCTTGTATTTGGGCTTTGTGGTTTCTTTTTTCTTCTTCTTTTGATTAGGCTGATGTATGTATTGGTTGTATTAGGCTTATATATGAGCCGCTTGATCTTTGTCATATCTACTCCTACGTCCTATCTTGTGTTGCGGCATTTACTGCAACTAGTTGTTATAGAATTGAATCAAAAGGAAAAAAATAAGGATCAGAACCGAATTGGCGTCGTATCTAATTGAACCCAATTCGCTCAACTCTAAAAAAAAGTCTCATAAAGTCAAAAACCATAAACAATCTAACAATAGAATTAGAAAGCCAAACTATATCATATATATTTCAATATAATTTGATTGGGTTTCAATCCATCGATCAATTCAGCCCAATAGAATTGAATAACTACCATTTTCTAAACAAGTGCAAATAACACAACTTCAACAACTAACTTACATATATAAACCATAAAGTACTCTATAGATTTGAGAGGTTTATTAGTGTTACAATAGGAAGAAAGAGAGACAGAGAAAGCTAGAGTTTCTTGATTTGCAAGAAACTAATATAGATGTATCATATATTGGTTGTGCGTGATTAGATGTATACATAGCTAGCTAGATTTTGGACCCATTTGGCATGGCATTTGTTGTGGTCATTTCAAGTATGGTGTTTGAAGAACGAGACGACTTGGTTAAAAACAATGTCCTTGGCGTTGACACCCATGATGAAATCAGCATGAGCATACTCCCTCACGTACTGAACCGACAGCTTGTCCACGTCATGGGCCCTGAAGCTATCGAGCAACCGCTGTACGTCCCGGATGTCGGACAGAGCATCCTGGCCGCCGTAGCTGAGGAACACCGGCAGGTCGTGCGGGATGTTGGAGAGGTTGTACACCGGCGGCGAGGCCTCACCGTAGTGCATCATGTTGTAGTCGGCCGTGCCGTAGTTGAACTTTGCTAGCACACCATCTCGGACCGCTGCAACGAGAAGAAGGATCATAATGATCGTTTCTCATTTCGTGATATAAGATTCACTCTTAAACAATACAACGAGAGGAGATCGAAAAGATTGTTACTTTGAGCTAAATGGACCATGTTCTTGGTGGCTGTTGATTGAGGCTCGTTCTGCAGGAAGAGGTCAACCGTTGATGAGTTCAGGCAGCAATTCTTCCCTGTCAAATTTGAGATTTGAGGTGAGTAAATTTTGACCCAATTCACAAAGCCGATTCACCACATAACACACATTAATCCGACTCGTGATGAAACCTTCAACTTGATATAAATCAAGCAACTCAAATCATGACTCTGAATCATTTGGCACATTCTTCTGTCCGCTTGTTGGTGACCCAAAACCAATTACGGCGTAACAACTGTAATTCGCTATCCATTATGGCTCATTATCCATCATGATCAACTCGTTATGACGACCATCTATCATATATGACCCAACTCGTGAAAATTGAAGTTATGATGACCAATTAATTTGTAGCATCAAAGAGAATCAAAAGGTTGAACTGATGATCAATGTTATATTGTGTGTACCAGTGAAGGCAGAAACGAGGTCATAGCAATCAACTCCAGGGGAAGCACATAGAGCATCGAGAAACTGAGTAACTAGCTTCCTGTCAAGAAACAATACTTCAACTTAGTCAGAAGATTCTTCCAATAAAGCTCTCTGTTTCTTTCTTTCTTTCTTTCTTTCCTTATAGGCTGCTGCTGGGAGAAGAATCTACTTACATTTTAGGGTTGAACTCAGCAAAACCAAGCAGTTCAGTCATCTGATTGCAACCAAGCAAAAGACATCTTATGTTTGGCTCTTTCACCCTTTGAATCATCACTGTTACTGCAGAAATTAGGATCATATGTACATTACCTCACCAACAAAGGCTTTGGCAGCAAGAGCTCCAATGACAGTGTTCATATGGCTCAAGTAGGCAATTGGGCTTAGGAATACAGCTGATTTCAGCTTGTCCACAAGCAAACCTTCTGAGAATGATCCCAATGCTATCAAAGTCCCCTGCCATCATCAATACATACAAGAAAACTCTATCAGTACTAGTGTACTACCCAATATCTTTGGGAATTGGAATTTGGTACCTGAACTTTATGGGTCTTACCAGGGAATGTCCAACATAGTGCATCTTTTGACCAGTTTCTTGTTGAACATGGTCAACAAAAGCTGGGAGATCAAACAGAACTAGCTCATCCCATGACCAATTCCAAAAAGCCTGCAAGGTTTTATGAACAAGCAAAGAGAGAGAGAGTTACCTCATGAAAAGAACCCTTATACAGTACATAGTACTACTTCCATTTGTAGTTCCAATGGTTGTTGTTAGCTTTGATTGTACAGCTTATTATGAGAGAGAGAGTAAGAGAGAGAGGATGAGAACATGTTCATTGGGTTTTAGAGAGGTGTGCCTCCTGCTGAATCTGGTCCCTCGGGTGTTAGCAATCCAAACATCAAAGCCTTTGTCGGCCAAGATCAGGGGTAGATTTTGCTCTGGAGAATTCAGAAGCCATGTCATTCCATCCTGTAGCCAAAGATAAATCATTATCATAAAAGTTCTATATCCACCATCATAATCAGTTACTATATTCGTTGTGTTCGAACAACAATATATGACCACATGAAAAATAAATTAGTATTTACGAAACAAGGATGTATGATGTATTTCAATCATCATAACCTTTGAAGGTAACCCTTGAATGATTGACCTAGTTAATTGGTTCAAGCTACAATAAAATACTATAAAATCCCTTCATTTTCAACATAATTAGCATTCTACAATGATTGTGGAATAAATTTTTGAATATACTTATTCCTATTTGTGAGAACGCTCGTACATAAAAAAAATGATCGCAAACTTGTGCAAAAACTTTTTGATTGAATCAATATGTGATCCAAAATCATCAACCAACCCGACATGACCCGTTGTCCTTAACGACTGGTAATCTAAAGTCATCCAACCCGAAATCACTCGACCTGTTCCGATTGCTGGGTCTAAAGTTATCTCTTTAAAAGAACAAGTTACAAGTTTACTGTTTCTTAGAGTCACATCCCGCCACTGTTACTCCTTTTGCTTTTTTTGCCCTCTTGTATCTGACTGACATTTTCTCTGATGCGTTCAGGCGGCTCCCATCAAACCAATGGCACATCACTAAAAGTACTTATTTTGTAATTGATCAAAGCTTAAGGACCAAAAACATAATTATGTTCTCATCTCTCTCCTGTATTTGTTCTCATCCACTTGTTTTTCATCTCTCTCCCATAACCCCTTCCACCAACCAGTCAATGTTCATCTCTCCTTTTCTCTCATCAGAAGAAGAAGAAGAAGGGAGAAGAAGAAGAGGATGAAGAGAAGAGGAAGAATGCAAAGCCCGACCACCTCAATCGTGCTCTCCCTCTCTCTACGATTCAGCTTCTATGTTGTTTCTTTCTCTCTCTGCGAGCCCAAAACTCCGACATCGGCGAGCCAAAACTCCGACATCGGCGATGAATCGGCAAGTTTGTCGAGGAAGGAGAGACGGCTGGATATAGTGAGTTTTCCTGACGATGGCGATCTTTTTCTCAGAGAGGTTTCAACAGGGGAAAGAAGGAGGAGTCTTGTGGGAGGTGAGTCGATGGACTCTAAGTGAGGCTGGAGGAGACAACAGCGAGGGGAGAGGGTGTGGTCTTCGGCGGCCGGCGGGTGGTGGGGATAGTTCTAGGTTTTCCTTGCGTTGAAGGAGGTTAGGTTGGAATAAACTTTTGGTGGTTCCGGCAGTGACGGAAGTGATGCTGAAACAGGAGGCGATGGAGCAAGAAGTAAAATTACTTGAGAATCTCAATCAGGTATGGGTGTGAAGCCGGTTTCTGATTTCTGTTTTGCTTTTCATTATTAGTTTTTGGGGTTTATTTGTTGCTTTCTAGCCTACTACTTTATCCTCTCTAGCTTATGAGAACAAGTAAAAAGCAAAAAAGTAACAGCTAGCGGCTTTGCTGAACGTAATTTCGTCAGACGTTGCTCGTTCGTGATTTGCGCATCCATTTTGACTGTCCCAATTTTCTACATTTCGACTGAATCAAATATCCAGGGTGCCGGATTTGCTGCTACATAGGAGCTCAAATTAGATATACTCTGGCTTGCCCGGAATGTCGGGCTCCTCTTCTTCGGATACTCCTTCTTCGTCATCGTCTTCGGCAATAAGAGCTTGGAGGACTGCCTTTCTGACTCTCCGGGACGAAACCCTAACGAGCAGCCCTAAATCGAAGTCAATAACGCAACTTCTCAATGATCTCATTTTCTCTCATTTCCGGGCTCTCATGTCTGCCGCCCCCGACCTTCCTCCTCACGAGGTACACTGCAATTTGATGCTGTTTATGTTACTGTACAAGTGCTCATTGGATAATCAATATAGAGTTTAGTCGACCACTGCATCTTTGTAATTGCTCCTAGCACTCCATGATAGAAATTAATAAAGACAAAGTTCAATGGGGAACCTCATTACTAATTTTGAATTTTCAGGTGACCTCTGATCTGCTGTTCTTAATGGAACTGGCTGCAAGTTCTCCAGGCGGCCAAGATGTGTCACCTATCTATGTTTATGTTTCCTCTTTGGTGCTCCTTCGTTTTTTACTGGCTCTATTGGCTTCTCCATTTCAGGCTTAGCATATTCAATGTTACATGGTTTGTTTGCTGCTACCCAGGTGCATGATATTTGCAAGCTTCAACGTGTGACTCTTCAATTGAATTCTTCTTCTTGGGTTGTTGTGATCAACTGTTTCTCCGCTATGGTGCACTTCTTCCTCGGCCAAGCTGGTTCCAGACCCCAATTTTCGTTGGGGCACGCTGTGGAATGCTTGGGGACCGTAAGGTATTAGTTCTTGGTTCTTCACTCTGTCAGCTTGTGCACTCACTTGGCCTATTTTCCAATAACTTAATCTATTACTGTCTATGACTAGGTTTGGGCTTTTCTGTTTGACAATAGTGTCTACATTTGTCTTCTTATTTATTATTTGATATGTTATGTGACTGGCGTGCTAAACTTTGAATACTTTATGCTGTTTCTTGAATCCCCAGATGTCTGGCCTCCATCTATCAGCCGAAAAGTTTGCTATCAGATGATGTCCACTTGGCAAAGTTTCTTCTCGGAGTAATTGAAAGTTATCATGCTCAGTGCCTGTTGTCAACTTGCACGAGCACCAGTGAAAATGTTGCGGTCTCAACTGGCAAGAGGTTATCTAAAAGCAGTCAGTTGTGGGAAGTTCCAACAGCCGCATTTACTTTGCTCAGTGAAGCATTCACAAGAATCGGGTCTTCGTTCCCCACTTATATTTGGCAATCTGCTATGGAGGTATGTTGCGGGCTTGACTGATTTGATGGTTTTTGGGAAAAGAGACTGATATACTTTTTTCCCTCCGATCCATAACCAGGTCATTAGGAAAGTGATGGACGTCTTACTGTCTCAGAACTTCCTTGTTGAAGGTGCTCCTGCGACAAGGTTTTTAGAATTTATCCGTCTGAACCTAATAACAATAGATGCACTTAAACACACATTACAGTGCACAACCTTATGGCTTTGATTCTGTAATTCATGTGCACTACAAGTATGATGATGCACTTTTTTGCAGGTTTTATGCTCCGCTCCTTGGATTTCTACATCTGGTTCTTACCAATGCTAAGGGTTTTCAAAATGACCATGTATGTGAATCTTTGCTGTCAGGTTTGAGGATTATTTTCCTGATATTAGGAATGTTGTGTGCCTTACAGTATGGATACTTGTCATCCTCACAGGTTCCTGCTTTTGTGGCAACTTTGCGAATGTTCTTTACGTATGGCCTGTCACAACCCTTATACTCCACTAATGCTGGCACACATAAGAATGCTGCTAAATTGATTTCAGAAGACACTAAGAAAGAGCGTATTCCGTATCGCCCTCCTCACCTGCGCAGAAAGGAAAATGTAAACATGAAGCAGCTTAAAGCTCAGGAATTATCTTGTTCCTCACTTCCTCTGATCAAGAGTCTTTTGCATTGGAACTTATTTCATCAGATTCAGATTGCAGTGACAGTGATGGATCTGTTAAAGATAATGATACTATTAAAAGTTCAAAAGTCAGGACTGCTGCTATAGTTTGCCTACAAGTAAGTATTTTCTGCTATCCTCTCATCAGCGCTTGTGATGAAAATGCATATGTATAATGTATTTGTCACTATGTTTGTAATTAAAAGAATGCTAATACTCTCAACATTTTGCTTGTTTCTTGGAGGATCTTTGTCTAGCTGATCCCAGATCCTTTACCACTCAGTGGACTATGATTTTGCCTACAACTGACGTACTAGAAACAAGGTAAGATCATCACAGGATCACTTTGGTTATTTCTTGTGAGTTAATTGTTCCTTGAGTAATTGAGTGTTCATTAATGCGCAGGAAGTTTGAAGCTACTCTGTTGACTTGCTTGCTGTTTGATCCTTATTTGAAGGTATTTACTGGGTTGTTTATTGGACTTGGATTGTTTTCCAGCAGAGATGAAACATGCTGGCCCTGCTTCCAATTCTTAGAATCTTGATTTGCCTAATTCTTCTTAAAATTAGGATTAAGGTGTGATGATCGACTTCCTTTACTGTTGGTATGATAATTGATACAGGTACGGATGGCATCCGCATCCACTCTGGCAGTCATGCTGGATGGCCCTTCATCAGTTTTCCTGCAGGTAGCTGAGTACAAAGAGTCCAGCAAGAGGGGGCCGTTTATGCCCTTGTCAAGCTCACTTGGACTTATACTTATGCAACTTCATACTGGTAACAGAGAGAATTCTGTCGTGGTTGAGTTACATTTGTGCTGACTGTGATTTTTGACATTTGTTGCTTGCTGCTTACATGCTTCGTTCTGGTTTGCTGTGTTTCAGGCTTGCTGTACTCAATCCAGCAAGAAACTCATAGTAGATTGCTAGCATCCCTGTTGAAGATTCTTGTGCTTTTAATATCAGCCACACCGTATGTATTCTGTAGCTCAAAAGCTTAGCGTATTTTCATCCATTTTATTTACTATATTTTAGTAGCTTCGTAAGATTACATTCAACCTGGGAGAATTTAATTCCGGTTATGGTTTTGGAGTCAAGCTTACTTCTTGCTGGTTACTTGTGTCTCTCTTACAAGAGGAACTCATGTAAAGCTTGGCCAGAGAGATAGATGGAGAGAAGCTTTAATTTCAAGTTTGAAATTGAAACATGATTTTTCTTGACGGGCCTGTTTTTCTGATGGACTCATTGAAGAAGGTAAAGAAATTGAACCAGGGAGATGGGTTGTGGATTCCTGGACTTGGTCAGTTGGAATTGCCATCAAAGAATTAGTACAGTATAGGAATTGCTCAAGTGAAGGAAGCCTTCTCCTCGGTGAGTCCTTTAATAGTGACAACATTGTGGATTTAGTTTTTGGTTATTGTCTCCATTTAACTCTATGACTGATGAACCAGCCTGTAATCCACCTTTGGAGATACATAGTGACCACGGAGAGCACTTGAGTGGTTCTTGCTACTGGTTTCAGCTGCCATTTTAGTTTAGGTGTATATGTTCTTAGATAAGTTATCCCTAAGTATCTTCTAAAAGGGATAGAAACAATAGAAGCTATCTCACTTTGTTTGGGTTTGAAAGCGGACTCTGCAGACAGTTACTTTCTACAGATTGCATTGTATGATCTCATTCTTTTTCTTACTCATGACTTCAGTCTCATTGCAGTTGCCTCCCAGAAACATGATCTGAAGGAGATGGGCAAAGGTAAGTGAGAATTAGGCTCAGAGACTGAAGTATCATCAAGTGGAGAACAAAATGATAGGAACATCGAGGAGTTGTTAAGAGTAGGTGCATCATTTTTCCATTTGGTTTGCTTAGTCTATTTCCAGAATTCTAGATCTCATTAATGGTAAGATTCTTTGTGAACCAGCTTGAGTTGTGTTCAACTAATTATTTGTTCTTTTTGCAATTCTTTTCATTAAAGGCAGACCATGACGTTGTATGTTGTGTTTCAGTATGGTCTCTGTAATCTTTGTTTCCATCTCACAGTACACACATGAATGTTAGGTTACGTTGAATGTTAAGTTCAGTCGGGTTTACGTCGTTTATAAATTTATTTATTTTTTACTTCATATTAGCTGGTTTCTCCTGTCTACATAGGATCTCTCTATGTGTGGTTGGTTTAATCCTTACTTGAATCCTACTGCCACATGAGAGCTGAGTTTGGGGTTTGATGGGAAGGAAGATTAGAAGAGTACACCAGGATCCTTAACTCTCTTAAAATCAGTGGGAGAGGTTAAGTCAGCAACTAAATTGCTTCAAAATCTTGGTTTGCTTTGTTTTGGTTTCAGCTGGTGATATAAGAATACTGAACTGAATGCCCTGAGTTACATTTGAGTGCCACTTAGTAGATTTGTTGTTTATTTGGCCTCACTGGATACTCTTTTATGTTTCTAGCAATCAGTTTGGTTACTATGCAAGTTTACTTGCAATGCTGATGGTTATAGTTTCCCTGTTGAGCAAACGAGTTATATTGGGGGATTTGAAGTTGCATATCAAAGCCTGCTGCATTGAAAAATCCATCTATTCTACTTTCTGTCTTTAGATTTCCATATGCAATTGCTTGCTTCTACAGCTATCTAAAGTCTTTTCAGTCGTTCTTCATTTCAGCCAACCTGCCTCTATATGATGTTCTTTTACTGCTTTACTAATGGAATTGCCTTCACAAGGATACTTCTATTTTTTGGGACTATACTGACTACTCATGTCAACCGGTTAATTTCTTCAATTCTTAGGATCCTTCTCTGTGAATTAATTGGTTCCTACAAGGCCACAACTAGATACTTCCTATAATTATGTTTACGCTTTTTAACTCTTTGTGGGATATCTAGATTTTAATTAAAAGGCTTTGGATAATGCATTTCAGTAGCCATGCCTGTATCTTTAAATTTGATTATGCCTTTTTTTGGATACTTTGGTGATTATGCTTGGTGTTAGTGATCTCCTCTCTCTATTTCTTCTGTTTTTTATTTAGGTTTCTTCTCTTTGCGTAGAGGGGTTAGAGGTTTGTCTAGGAATTAAAAAAAAAAACCTTTCTGTTTTTGTAGCAGGGGATGCTAGAAGAGAAAGATAACCCTGTTTCAAATCTTAATCATAGCCTAAAGGAGTTTAGAGGTTTGCCATTGATTTTGGGTCGACTTCTTTGAGTTTTTTATGGAAGATTCGGAGTTCAAATTGCATGTGAGTTTATATGTTTGATGTCATGTGTGATTAGGGTTCCGTGCTTTTTCTGCGTTCAAGCTCTCAAGTGGAATTTAAGTGGTTTATACATGTTGTAGATTTTATAGCAGCTATTTATTTGTAGATACAGTTTTGTCAGTCAACAAAAGTGTGTTCAAACAGGCCAAAACCTTAAAGTACGTGTCTATACTAAATAGCAATTAACATCCTTGCTAACTAAATATCTCTCCCTTATGATGTTAAGTTTCTTCTCTTTTTGTTTTCAATCTTTGATTCTTTCTATGGTTTTAGTTTATACTCCCTTAAATTTTTCCACACCTCTGCCTGCAGCTGAAATAGAGGGTGAGATGTACAGGAATCTTGGTTGTGAGGGGTGAGTGAGCCTATGCAGGATGCAAACCATTGGTACAGGGGACGAGGATGCCAACAAAGAGTGATCAAGAAGCTGAATGAAGTTTTAAGGGAGGAAGCAAGGAACCATTTGAGAAGGGCGCGATGACTTACAAAGTATTTCTTTATGGTTGCGAGGTGAATTCTCCATAACTCTTTTTAGTTTTCCAGACCGGGTCTTTCTGTGTTTGGTTCTAGATGGAAAAGTGTTAAAAGTCTTAATGCAACAACTTTGAAGTTCTATGTTTGCTGGTGGTCTAGGTGAATCAGATTTCTCTCTTGGAACTGACTTTTGTTGAGCTTATAAATTTTGTGCTTCCTCTTACTTATAAAACCTAGGATGTTGATTAGGACAGAAGAGTCTGTTTGTAACATACTAACAATTTCATATGAATCCTTTTTGTTCTAAAAAATGTGCAGCTCCAGGAAAAGCTCCTCCAAGTTGCCATCCCAGAATCCAAATGCTGGGTGCGAGCTTACAGATCTGACTCCTTTCAGAATGAGATGACACAGATAAAGGGAAGGAGGTATAAAGAGATTTATGTAAAGTGAAATGGAAAAGAAGGTGAGGATGAGTTATTTTATGTATATAAGCCTCAATTCGCATATGTAAAAGGAGTGGTTGCATCGATCATAACAAAACTATTTAGTTATTTCAGAGTTTCACAACTTGAGCCTGATTTCTCTTTTCTTTAGCCTTGAAGTTCGCTCAAGATTTAACAATATAACTTGGTTATAGGTGTTTTTGATTTATTAGAATAATGAGAGCAGAAAAGTGAGTGAGACTAAAGTTTACTTATATTTAGTGTTGTCTTTTTGCAGTGATTGAAGTTTACAACACTGCAAAACTGACGGAGGTAAGACTTTTTACAACATTGATTCACAGTACTTTGTTAAATGATGTTTTGGACTTTTTTTCTCGATGGTAAGTAAGGGTTTCAGCTCCAATTGTTCTCGGAGTGGGTATATAATCATTGACATTCATTTACACGTACATGTGAGAGTGAGTATATAATACTCAATCACATGCTCATGAAATGTGCTGCAGTAGCTGTTATTTTTGCTAATTTATCTTTATTATTACCAGGGTTCCAGTTTTGAGATATCCTGAATGAAAAATTACATCTCCTAAGACATGGTCAGAGGTATGGTATCACTTTATTGGCCTATCAACTTGACCGTTTGAGAACTAGATTTTGATTCACATGTTAGCGACCATCAACTTCGTTTTCAACTTTGTTGGTTGTTCTGTTGCAGGAGTTAGGCAACTCCATTGCCTTCTTGAAGTGTTCTTAGGATATCATATAGACATGAATGATCGAGATTGAAATGAGTTTTTTTTAGCAATGTTAGATGGTGTTAGCATGCTTGTGATGGGGAGATTGTTAGAGGTTTCAATGATGCATTATTTTACTTGTTCTAAACTGACCTCATTCTAAATTTAGCTAGCAGTCTTTCTTTCACGAAGCAGTAGTGGAAATCAAATTCGAATATAGCTTATGAGTGTTCTTTTCTCATGAGGAAGGGGACGATACAAAAGAAGAAGCCAAAGAAGAAAGAATGACAAGCCATTGAATGGCGAACAGGAGCAAGGAAACAGTGAGGATTCAATGGGGAAACTCAAATTCCATGGATTTGAGTACTCTTTAGACTGCTACAATTTCATATTTTCCTGTTTACAGATAATTTATATTATGTGTTTTTTTAAGAAATATTTAGTCTTTGGAATCTGGTTTGTGTAGAGTTGAAGTCTGAGTTGACAATGGTTTCCTTCTTTCATTTGGGAAGGATTATCTTTTGGTCTTACTTT